TTTCGCCGAAGCTATTTCAACTCACTTTTTCTAATTTTATACATTTTATAGGGTCATGAGCAGGCTTTTTTTAGTGAATCGTTAATTTTTATTTTGTAATAGTGAGGATTAGGAGCATAAGGGTATAACTAATAATACATGAATGATGAGAGAGGGTAAAACATATGTCCTATCATTTGGCTATATTCATAATAATGACAGTCGGGACCCGTTATATTCAGGATTGTCGTAGATATTAAGCGGTCCATAATAAAGTGTCTAATTAGTGGGCGGAAGTTCAGGGAATAGTTGATGAAACCCGTTAGTGTCAAGTAGCAGGGTTATTAGTCTTTTGAACTTGGTCAGAGTGTCACAGTTACGGATAGGTATTGACACCCTTTTCCACGATAAACTACATCCCACTGTAAACAAATTATGACGCGTTGATTTTCGGTGTTTCACTGTATGCAGGGTGTATGCTTTGCTTCTAAGTCTATAGACTGCGTCATGGATCATGGTTGGGCAGGAGGTTGTAAATGAGTGTCCATATATTGCTTTGTAGAGCAATGTTAGATTGTTCCTTAGCCGACAGTTCCATAAAGGTTTTAAGGAGAGGTGCTTACATCTATCCCTATAGTTGAGAGTGGAGTCACATCATAGCAGTCGGTGAGTGAGGCGTCTCTAGACACCCACTCTTATCTTGTGTGTGGTATTCATGTTTGAGAAAATAAAAAAGGAATATTCGAGAGATGGTCGTATATATATCTTGTAAACGGAAAGATTGGCCTTTGTTGTTAAAAAATTTTTCATTATGAAGCCAATTAGCCGTCTAGATTTAGAAACAATGAATGAGGTATGTTCTTCAAACTTTAATACCTAGACGATGCACTGACTTGAGCATTTAAACTCTGCTTTTATTCATATAAAATTTTAATTTATAGGGATGTCTTCCGAAATGCATGGTGCTACACCTGTTGAGGTTAAATGGCAATTGCTACTTTTTGCTCCAGATAGTCAGGTTGTTGAGGTCACTTTGAATCAAGGTTACACTTGCACTTGGAGCTTCAGGGTCAAATATGTATACTGTTTTGAGATCATCGGCGGATGGTCTAAAGTTTATGCTGCCAAATATATCGTTCATATACATAGGAAACAAGAGTGGACCTAATACACTCCTCTGAATGACTCCAATAGCTATTGGTCTAGGTAATAAGAAAGAGTCATCGTACTGTTTAAGTTCTGTTAAGAATTAAGCAAACCATGAGTAAAGTGTGTTGTTGATTCCTAAAGACTTTAGTTTGACAATGTTATGATCGTTACCTAGAGACGTTTCCTAATATACCCAGCGTTGGTGGCGAGGCCACTCGAAAGAACTAAGTCCATGATATTTTGATGTTTGGTAGGGCTACTGACATACTGATTCCACTGTCCAAGCACTAGGCATTCAATAATTGATTCATAGCGTTTCAGCGCCATGACTGGGAACCAAAACATTTCAGGTCTGTTGAAGACAATATTGCTATCTCATCTATTGTTGCGTTAGGTTGATGGCAGACATACTCGAACTCGAAATCATTGAGGCAATTTACACTGAATCCTACAGCTTGTTTCGTTCAGATATGTCACATAATAGTGAGTAAAGCTAAAGTGAGCGTCAATAAGGCATCTTCCGCCTTGTCCCTTCAACCTATTTCTTTGATTTAGGAAACGAGTATTAAGAGATATACTAAGGTCGGAAATATCACTGTTAGTCCATGCGTCAGATTTAATAAAAAATAATGGATGCTAAATGCATAAAAACAGGGCTAAGTAGGTCTTTTTATTACAGATCGACCTAGCGTTGGTAAGACACATAGTAAACAGATGGCGCACAAAGTTAAAATGAGTAAGAATAACTCGATCAAAGTTGTCATAGCCTCCAAGGTTGTGATTTGGTTTTAAAGAGAGAGATTGGTTGTTCTCCACTAACTCGTTCTTCTGATAGCTAGAGTTGGAAAAGGATATATCAAGTGAGCTAATGAAGTTATTTGGAGAGTTTACCCAGCAGTAGAGGGTGGGAGTACTGTCTGATCGAAACCATACGGAGGTAGCAAGTTTATGTTCCGCATGTAGTTCGAAATGATTTGGGCCATATGCTTCAACAGAGGTGCCACTAGGTGGACTGTGAAGTGTGCTATTATTTGAAAATAGTCTTCAGAGCTTCTGTCTCATAGCTTCGGTTATAGCTATTTGCGTTAATGTGAACGTCAGAAGAACCTGATTGGCCATTTCCATGTAGTGAATTGGTACTGAAAGATATGGGATGTTTTCTTTCTGAGAGTAACTACAGTTGGAATCCTGGGGAATGGAGATAAGGTATGGGCTGAGAAACCTATTATTACCATACTTATTAATGGTTCTATGCTTTAGGAGCGAGATGTGTGATAAGCACTCTGAAAGTTTTGTCAGCCTGAGTGTGAAAGGAGTTGTTATACTCAGGTCTACCACCAGTTTTTCAACGTAGAGATGTTGATGGACAAACTGTTCATGGTTGCTGGGTTACCTAAAGAACTGTTGTGTTTAATCTTACACGTTTTCCAGTTCGGTGTCCTGGATTTTGTCTCCACACTCCTTTTTATCAGAGCTGGATGGATAGTTTGATGTGTGTCGTCACACGGCTCACATCTTATCATATTACTAAGCGAAAATCTGGGATGAGAATTATCGTTATGCCTTTTGGTAGTAGTTGGAATCCATACCTTATGCAAAGGATTCTGGTCTGCAGACTCATCTAGATCTACAGGATGATCTCCCGTCTGTGGAGTTACAACATTATTATTGTTCATGAGCTTTAAACTATTTACTGGTTATTCACTGTAACACTATCATGCAATCATACCGCTTCACGTCTTCTTACACGACGTTGACAGAGGGTTAAGTTTGGAGTGACTTTTATGCTCTTGTATGCAATTAATGAGCTAATAGTTCTGCTCGAATCGATAAACTGCTTAGCATCATTACAACAGCCAAACCTAAACAGACGAGGGCATGTCGATCAATGCGAATTTTTGGCAGTTGACGTTTAGCATACTGCATGGTGTAAGTCAAATATCCCTTAACTTATTTGGGTGTGTGATCAGGGAAATTGTATGCAACTGCATGGTAGGAAGGCATCACTCTTTTCATCACTTCTTCAGTTGAAAACTCTAAAATACATTCAGTCTTAGTGAGTTGTTCAGGATTTTTATCACTATTAAAGCTCCATATGTGTGAGCGGTGCCAATTGGTTAAGTTCACCGTTAATTTCTCCAAGAGCTCTCTGTAAATAACGGATATCAATATTACATCGATCAGTATTTTTGTATGTGTGAGGTAAACTACTAGAATCTTGGGTTTTTGAAATTTTGGATTTAGGCCTTAGTAAAACATACTGTTTGATAGACTGTACTGACTTTTCGATGCGCGTGAGTACGGTGTATTGTAAGTCAACCAGTCTTAACGTTGGCATAATGCATAAAGAGATAGAAGGGTTTTTACATAGAGAATCGGGTAGTGAAAGTGATGTTTACGGATAAGACGCACAGGGTTCAGCAGGTTTGCCATTGTCGAATACTGGATCGTTAGATAAAGGGGTTACAGACCTTGACCTTTTAGTCGGCTTAGTAGTCGGTAAAACTTCTCTCTTACTAGAGTTACTTGCCACAGTTTGAAGCTGAGTGAGTAGGAAGCTCGTTTAACTAAATAGAATATCTGAGTACATAGTTACTATGATGTGTTTACCGGGTTAATACTGGGATAAGAGATTATGAGTATACAATGCATTACAAATATAAGGCATTAAGTTATAACGTAAGGGATTAACGATCGATGGAATATTTACATTTCAATTAGTGTAATCCAAAGGTAAAGACGCGTCAATGTCAATTGCTGAAGGCTTATATAAGATATATAGGAAACGAAATCAGCGATATGTATGTATTAACTGGTAAGTGTCCAAAGTTATTTTCCTAAGTAAAATGTGCCCGATATAGAAGATAGGATGATGATCTCACTATATTACAGTATAAATTTATAAACCACGTAAATATTATCATTTTTGAATTTCACGGAAAACTAAATACATTCATTCAAATATCATTAACTCTGGAGATCACTAACGTAAATGAGGAGTCGAACGATTGCAGGCTTACTCGAATGAGACGAGAAAAGTGTGACCAATGAGCCAATGTCGTAGTCACACCTTGCAGTTAGTTCCTGACATGGATTACCGTTTTGTCGTATCTAGGTACTGTGGCCGCTTTGATAACCTTACAACACAAACGACGTTACCACAGAAACATGATAGTGTATGTAAAAGGCACAGTACATGGCATGCAATTAACTGACGAGCGCTAGCCGTCCTTGAACTTGGCGAGGATCGGTGAAGTACTCGATGCTCAGTGATCTAATTGCTGGATATCTTAACTGGTGCCTAGTAATATTTCACTGCTCCTACACCATTTTTCTGATTATCAATGGGTCGTTTCTTGAGTGTTAATTGACCAACAATGCTGTCTTATCCTGTTTCGTTTAGATCATCTTCGGGATCATGTTTTTGGTGACGACTGATTCCTTAGATTTTCCGACTAAAGATGTAAAAACAGACTTTACTGAAAAATTAAGACGAAATAAATGTTACTCATGACATACTAATCGTCTGTCAAAACACAGGAACCTGAAAACAGACTGCGGATCTTAAATTGGAATAAACTCCAATATGATATGATGAAGCTAAACTCAGTATATTGTTTCATTTTCCTCTAAACATAACCGATCCGGTTGCAAGATGTAGGATGTGTCTAGGGGATCAATGCAATACCTAATTTCAACACATTGAGGGATTTCCTATAAATTAATAAGCTCTTATAGTTTTGCAACTAAGACTCAAGAAAGCAATACTTTTCTTTTTCCCTAAGAACTTTTATTAACTCGACTCATAACAACCACTTTGTGCAAGAAATCTTCGGATAGATGAATAACAAAGATTTACGAAAATAGGGCTTGCCGAGATCATTATCTATTTCTCTACAACTGAAAACATGCTCGTTCTCTCAAGCACAAACGGCGCTTCACTTAACGTCAGGGTCACCTCCGCGACCAATTAAAGTACTTCTGTCAGATGAGACGTCTTGGTAAAAATAAAAAAAGGCGATGGCAGTATTGCTACAAGGATATCGATGCTAAAATTCAAGACGCAGCACGTAACAAAAGAATGTAAGTTGTAATACTTATAAACTAACAAACATCAGAATTGACCAGGATTTTACACAAGTGTCAACACTAAACAGAAAAAGTGAGTGACTTATCAAATCCACCAACCGTGATTCAGACTACATCGTAAAGGGAGATAAGAATTCAGCAAAACCTTTCAACGATATCCCTAGCGCATGCGACAGAAAGTTGCATACTTCGCAACCAAAACTGGAAAAAAGAAAGCTTGTTGAGATTGATATCTGGGAAGGTTGTCCAGTTTTTGTTCGCACTTATTATTATTTAGATGTACCAGCTTCAATAATGCCTACTGGCAAAGGGTCTACTATAGAAAACACAGTCGATAAGAATCTAGGAAATAATTCCCTACCTTGTCCAGGACAATCATACAACCCGACTTTGCACGATCACTTATCCCTCATTTCACGACTAAAAGCTATCGAGTCTGCAAAGCATAAACGGGAGCTTAAAACAGAGCGCTTTGTTAGCAGTCTAAGAGGTGTTAACTCGGTAAGAATGATGTTCGCACTTGATATTTCTAGACACCGAACCCTCTTAAAGATATGGAAAAGTTCCTTCATTCATTAAATGCTGGGTCTCACGTTACAAAAAGTAGTGAAGACGTTGATGAGATTTTACTGCCTCGAAAAAAGCCTAAAAAAGTGGACCCTCACAAAAAAATGAAAAACGATCTCGAGAAGTAAGTCTAAGTAATAAGATTACTTTTCCAGTTTACCTAAGTTGCTTAAGGAAATCAAACGTGAAAAGAAAACCAGGGAAAGGCGGAAGTCAGCAGCCAAAGTTAAAAACGAAATCCGTAGTAAACTAAAAAAAGTTGATCTGAACATACCGTTCCAGCTGCCCAATGAGATATCGTCATCATTAAGAAAGTTGTGTGTAAGTCATACTTTTTCGGCTTTATAATTCTGTCCTGATCATAGCTAACTAAGTTATTCTACTGAACTGATAGATACTTGTAAAATTATCCCATATGTCTCCTAATGGAGACAAAATCAAAGACACCGTTAGGGATTGATTAGCGTAGACTAATGCATATAATTGCGTATTGCCGGTCAGAAACTTGATTCAAAGCGATGGATCTTTAGTGTGCTCACGTGGCACAATAGTCTATTTCGCGAGACAATTAAAAGATTTACTCGTCTTGTAGATCTACTGAACTACAGTTGAATGCAGCGCGCAGACACATCTTCTGGAAGACAATATTTTGATCTTAGTTTCTTACGACTTGTAAATCGCGATTACCGTTGTTATTTCCTTCCTACTACTTCCCTATTGCGATGAGATGCCGATTGTGTAGTTCAACAACGATACCCTGATACATTCGGTAGTTTCGTTTGCGAATCTGTGCATAGCAAGTTTTCAATAATGTAGTATTCGACCTAACAGTATATAGCAAAGTCGGTTAGAGTTTGTGTGCGATGTATTAATTCATCAATTATAAGTAGTTGCGTTTTAGTTTAAACTATGTGTATGAAAGCTAGTTTTTTACTCATTTGTCCTGATCAAAGCAGGTGAGTAAAGTGCTTAAAAAGTCCATTTCCGCAAACACGACCTAAGGCCGAATCACCTACTCTCGTGTTTTCTATGTGCAGCAAAATCAATGTTCACGTTTAAACAGCGTTATTCGTAAAAACTTGTGGTTGACGAAGTTTTCATCCAACATCCTTTTATAATATGTCTTGATTTAAAATGTCATCATGTGAACTGTCGATTTGAATTATTTTAATGCATAAACTTCCCAATCTATTTTCATAAACCAACTATGATCATTCTATTTTAGCCGGAAGGTTATCTATTTCATGAGGTTGAACGTCGGCGGAACACATGTCCACGTGCTCGGAAAACGTTGGGTAGCAAAAGCAAAAGCACATCATTTGAACGCAAGCGCTAAGTTAATACATTAATGTAATCTTTTAGATTGCTTGTAAATATGTGTATTATCCAACGAAACCGGTGTTTTCTTATTTACCGTATGAAGCATTGACTCTGTTTCACGACATTCAGTAGACCAGTCATTGCTAAACAAAAAACCTGCCATAAGGGTTCATTGTTCCTTGGATATATTCTAATCTTAATAACATAGACCCTTCTTCTTAGAGAACGAAAAAATACCTTATAAGTTTGCGTTTGAGCTAATCTGACTCCTTACTATTCATAAATTCAACAAAAATCACAGATGAAACAGTGTTGGACAGCTGCAGAAACTTATAAGTAAGAATATTGTTAGGGGTATAGCAATAAGTCCTAGGGCAGAACTAACTCTCTTAGACTGGATCCCAGTAGACAGTCGTTTGTGCGCTGTACCACTAAGCAGAACAATAAGGACACTCGTCGTTGCTTCTTCGTTGTCTCTGCCTATTCTCCCACTGACTGCAGCTCAAACGATGTAAAGGATGAGTTTTACAGAAAGCACTCCGATCTCCGAAAAGCCAGGCGCTCTGATGTAGTAATAGTGGCCGGTGACTTTAATGCTCAAGTAGGTAAACTAAGCGAAAGACACCCGGGTGGATCTTATAGCATCGTGGCTCAAAGAACAGATAATGGCAACCGTCTGTTGCAGCTATGTTCAGATAACCGCCAGTTTCTTGCAAATAATAACTTTAAGCATAAGGAAAAACATCTTTTAACATGGCGACCCCCTAATTCGTCTCAACGTTGGACCCAAATAGATCACATCGCTATCAGCCACCGATGGAGGGGCTCGATGGAAGACTGTCGCACATGCTTAGATTCGGATCATTCTTCAATGTGAGCACGTATTTGCCTGCGTATTACTGGACGTAGGAAAGAGGCTGCAAGGAAACCTCTTAGGGCCCTACTTAATGATAGTCAAGCTAAGAGTATATTTCAGGAACAACTAGAAAAATAGTTAGGCAGCCATGTATGTGATGCCCACCCCGAGGCAGCATGGAATGACATCCGAAAAGCTGTGGAAACAGCAGTGATATCTGTTAATACGGTAAACCACAAGGTTAGGGAGAAACACTGGATCTCAGCAGCATCTACCGCACTGATAGATGCTCGGAAACTCATTCCACCTGGCTCTGAACATAGTGAAGAGCGGAGTCAGCTTAAGCGCAAGCTGATAAGAAGCATACGCAATGATCGCGAACAGTGGTGGGTAGTGAAAGCAAGAGAGATGGAAAAAGCAGCGGCAATAAGTAATAGCAGACAATTGTTCAGACTTGTTAAGGGAACCGGTATTAGGAAACCGACTGTTAGCGAAATCTCAGAGAAAGATGGACATATTATTCATTCTCAATCCAGAAGATTAGATCGATGGGCAGAACACTTTAGGGATCAGTTCAACTGGCCTTCAGCCACACTTCGGTTTCCCATGATCTCCGGTCAACCTGAATGGCAAGTTAATGTAGGACCTACGTCTCTACGAAGTTGAAAATGCCATAGGAATCCTGAAGCGTGGGAGGGCAGCAGCCCTAACTAATATAGTGTCTAAAATATTAACTTCAATAATACTTCGACGCCTAACTAATGAAGTATGACAACTTAAACCAATGCATATATATGCCTGGTCTTACGTTGTAGCCGACTGACTGACAATGCAGATAAGTTTTTGAAGTATTTTTATCTTTCAGTGGTAAAACAACCACACTGGTCGCTTACTAATTAGGCACTGCTTTAGAACAACACATAGACGAGGAATTTTGTTTTCAGTTAGATTCTTATCAGACTTTAATATACAGTAGTGTTTATATAGATTTATAAAGACATTAAACCAATATAAGCAGTTTATGAGTCAGTGGCAACAGTGAAACAGGTTACATAAATACAAATGATAATTAGAAAGTATACATTGATAGTATGACGGCAGGTGTACTAGTGAGAATAGTAAAAGCCTGAATCAATGCCCCACCACAGGAAGTAGGTCGATAATTTGGGAAAGTCGGCACTGAAGTAACACCTACTGTAAATTATGGAAATTACTTCGAAGTGTTCAAATAGTTCGACTGTGAATTGAATATTTGAAAAAAGTGAACTTGTAGATACACATAAATGTGGCGAAACCATGTAGCTTATCTTTTAGTTGTGGAAACTCCGTAGGTCTGCTAGAAAACAGTAGACAGGTTAGCCGCTGTAAAGATAACTGCTCTAGTTAGGTCTATCTTGTAATAAATTGCTAGCTATATATCAGTTGGACTGTAGTCTTTGTAAGAAGTTTCCGTTGATATAATCACATTTCTGTTCACTATATACAATTGTTTCGTCAGAAAATCCAGTGTTCGTCTTGCTGTGCTAATGTGTGGCAACTTGGGCCGATGCATGTATGTGCCTGCTCCTACGTTGTAACTGACTGACAGAAAACCTTGTAGATAACCCATTTAAACTAACATGGTACCTAAGCACATCTAGCCAGCTCTACTTGCAAGATATCTTAATATTACTGCTGAACAATATCACGTGAAGAAACCACCAACCAGAATCCCGATTAATGACTTAAAATTTGTAAATTTTGAACAACATATATAAGCGAACATTGTTTTCGATTAGATCCTCACCAGGCTTTACTCTAATATACAGTAATATTTATATGCATATACGAAATTATGAAACCAATCAAGGTAGTTTATGAGTCATTGATAACAATGGAAAATAAGTGAAAATTACAGGTGTACTAGTTTCGATAAGAATAATAAAGGCTTAAATCAATTTTAAACAATCGGAAATAGGTCAATGATTAGAAAAGATATAGGGGATCCGATTGCATTTAAGGTACTCAGTGAGTTCCTAAAGTTGAATGTTCGTCTCACAGAAGCGAAAACATCGTTGGAATTTATTAATGACTGAGAGATATCCTAAAATATATTTGAAATCTTTACGCCGGAACAAAATTTATCCTAATGCTAGAACCCTCAAACGACAGACACTCGACCAAACAGAATCATTAAAAATACACATAAACAATCTGGAAAGAAATCTTTCACAAAGAGAATCTGTGGTCGATAATCTACCACCGGAAATAAGATCACAATTTATGGATTATATTAACATGGTAGCGAAAAGTAGACCAGAAAAATTAGAGACAAAACTAATTCAGCTACTGGAACCTCATAAACCTGAAAGAAAATTTCCTATGGACCCTGAGCGGTACGTTCATAACTTTTCTGGTGTTACGTTAAACATAGTGCAAATAGAGGCTTTGTCGCTCGGATCTAGATTTTGTGACTATGGAAATAAAATAAATCAACCAGATACAGATTTGCAATTTGAAAATCTATTTACACACAACAGATTTGGTGCTCACTTCACCCGATAAACTCACTAGGTTTAAGATCACGTTAGTAGACATCTGCCAACAATACAAAAATAGTAAATGTACCGTGAAAACTCCACCAAACACCGAGATGCTTTACATAAGCCTATAAAAAACAAAACTCTAATCATAAGCAAGCTGGACAAAGGAGGAGGGCTAGTTCTAATGAACATAGCCGATTACATTGACAAAATGAACTCGATTTTGAATGATCCGACTAAATTTCGAAAACTTAACGACGTGAAGGACAAATATGAAGGCAGAAAAATTGCTGACTAATTCACTTAAGGAATTAAAAAATAAAGGTATACTTACTCCAAGCATACACGATTCATTTAAAGCCACTGGATCGAACTCATCGCGACTATATGGTTTACCCAATTTTCACAAGACATATCTTTCTCTTCGCCCAGTTTTAGATACGTATAATTCGCTTTATCATAAAACTACAAAGTGGCTAGTCCGAATCTTAGATCCCTTACACAAACTAGCCGTCAACAGAAGCGTGAAAGACGTCTTCGATTTCATTTCTAAAGTGGGACATATGAACTTAAATGGGAAACGGATGATATTTCTAGATGTTGCTTCCCTGTTGAACAATGTACCGTTAACTGAGACTATTGACGTGGTGTGCCAACAACTACATGAAAAGCAAATCAATATTGGAACTCCTGAGGTTAGTCTCAAAGAATTACTTTCGAAATTTACAATGAATGTCCGTTTTGTCTTTAATAACACATTATAGCTACGGGTTCACTTCTAGATCCTATCCTTGCGGATTTTTTTTTCTTGCGAAACTAGAAAACGGACCTCTCAAAGGTTATCAATGAGTTTGACTTCTACTGTCGTTACGTTTGTGACACTTTCATTATTAGAATGAGTTTTGTGGAGAATTTAGGAAATTTCACAGGTTGAAATCATGAGTCGATTGAAGCTAGACCACCATGGAAAACCTGGAAGGCCGTTTCGTCCTAGTACGGGACTCCTCAGCAGTGCGCATCCACGATCTCGCACCACGCAGGGCTCGAACCCAGGACCTACTGGCTTCGCGCGCGAGCACTTAACCATTAGACCACTGAGCCGGCACTGCTGAGGAGTCCCATACTAGGACGAAAGGGCCGTCCAGGTTTTCCATGGTGGTCTGGCTTCAATTGACTCATGATTTCAACCTGTACACTTTCATTATTATCAACCAGAATATTAGAAAAGAACTATTTAACAACAAACACCCAGTAATTAAATTAACACGTGAAGAGGGAATAGGTAATAAACTTATTTCCTTGACGTTTTGTTAAATAGAAAAAAAAAGTTCTATCAGTAGAAATGTGTCTAGAAAAAGCTCTTAATCAAGCCAATACACACAGTTCTTAAGCTTACTACTTCATTATAAGAGAAACTTAGTCAAATGTCTGGTAAACAGATCTATTATGATATGCTCAGTCGACACAATTGATAAAGAATTAGAGCTCATTCCTAATATGTTGATTGAAATGGGCTATCCACAGGGTTTCCCGAAGAAGCACTTACGTGTAACAAACAAGAAAATAGCGACATAAACAGCCAGTAAGAAACCTCTTTTCTTGAAGCTGCAATTCAATGAAGATATAGCTGGTGATGTATTGCGTGATAGACTGACTAGAGCAGTGAAGAGAGCGCCTACTGCAGCCAACCTCTGTCTATCGTATTCGACCCGATCTATGGCGGTTCCCCAACTAAAGGATAAGTTACCTGGCTATGCCACTTCTATGTGTATCTACGAATTCAGCTGCTCCTGTGGAGAAAGCTATATTGGGTGCATTACCAGGCAATTAAACCAAAGAGTTACTGAACACCTTCCTTCGCGGTTAGAAAAAGGTAATGTCAAGGCAAAAGGCAGCTCGGTTCTATCACACTTGATCGATAGCGGTCATGTAGTGGACAGAAACAAGTCATTTAAAGTTATTTATTCAGTAGTAAGCCGCAACAGTAGTCCGTCAGTAAATCGAAAGCTTATGATAAAAAAAACATATTTATCGTCTAGTAAATTAATAACTAAACAGAAAAACTAATCAATAGTAACCCGGAAAACCCAGTTTCAACTTTTACAATATCCATCCCACCATAACTTATCTAACTAGGCTTCTCATATAATCAATAGGTACAAAGTTCAAGGTATGTGTATTGGCCTACTGAAGGATTTTCCCTATACGCACCCTTATTGATAGAACCATCTTTTCTAACATATTGTCAAGGAATTGTAATTTGTTGTCAAGTTTTTCCTTACATGTAAATCTGAATGATAAGTTGCTGGTTTTTAAATATTCTGATCGACAACATTAAAAGTATCATCAATGTGACGACAGTAAAAGTCAGGCTGTTGACGCACAAAGTCGATTGTCACAGCTTACGGTAAAGGAAAAAAATCCAGGTATATTATCTGTTTCCAGTTTACATTCACATGTTACACTTTAGAGCTGAATATGAAAGCGCCTCCAACGCTTCTGTTAACAACTAATTAGTTTAGAGAGTCTAGAATTCAAACCAGTCACTTTGCAGTCTTATAGTATGCACACATATGTCTAGAACTTGACGTTAGAGTAGATCCTGACTTGTGAACTCTGAGTAAGCCATAGACGTGGTGTGTTCGGTTCGATTGGCTCAAGCGGATCATGAATGATTAGAGTCATTATCACCTATGTTTCGATTTTTTGAGCGAACTAGTTAGTAGTTTATCCGCTTTCATATTTATATCCTAACGTGGCTGAGTCTTTGAAATCCAGTCACAACGTTCGATATCGCATTCATCTTGTCATATCCGGACGAAGAATAAATGAATGGTAACTGATAGGGATTATTTATCGACTATGATTAATATATTCTTATTGGGTAATCATTAAGTTATATATATATATATATATATATATATATATATATATATATATATATATATATAACTTTTATCGTAGGCTTTCATTTGACCTATTGTTTCCTACACTCACAGCCACTTTTGGTTTGATCCTGTATAATCATTATTTTTCATTTCATGGTGTGATGCGGTCTGGTCTGCTTGTTTATAAACTAAGTATGTTTGAAAAATAACATCAATACCGTGGAGGCTGGGATTGTGTTCTGAACTCAACGGACAGGCCTAGACGAGAAGGACCGATGGGATTCAAACTTGACGCAAGGCTGCTATTGCTGGTTGACGGTCTATTGGTTTAGAACAAGAAAAAGGTCATATAAGTCGGTATTCTGAGTGGCGATTTTGTCAATTGATAACTGACACGGGCAACAGTTATAACACATTTTATCGATATGATTTGGTTTGTTCATGACAACTAGCCCTCCTCTTCTGTCTGGCTTGCTTATGATTAGTATTATCCGTCTTAAGCTTACGTAAAGCACATCGATATTGTTTGGTAAGTGGAGATTTCGTGACATATTTATCACATGTACAATTGTCAAATGCCAGCCATCGTGGGTTTGAATCTAGTTGGTTCCTCGAAAGTATTCGGGAACAAATCTGTCGTTTAGAAAAAGAAACTCTCAAATTGCACGTTTGTATATAATTCATCAGTTATATGATCATAGTTCCAAAATTTTAAATCAAGCGATACAGCTTCTATGATATCTAAAATTATTCAAATTGATTTGCTAACTAAGAATTCCCAAAATAGCACAACATAAGGAAGGTAGAACAAGATGGGCGCAAATGGACGCATTATATTTGTAACTTGTAATAAGCGCGTAGTCAAGTACAAAAACCAGTTTTTATTACAAAAAATTCAACTTAACACTGGAAAAATTATGAACGTATTACTCGCGGTCAATAAGGGACATAAGTTTTAATTTTTGACATCCGAGCGATTCCATTAACTTCGTACCTAACGTCTCAAATCTACTTTTTGCCACCGTGTCGACATAGTCCATAAATCGTGATTTCATCCCCAGTGGTGAGCTTTCGACATTATATTTGCGTTGGAGAAGGCTTCTTTCTATTTCCTAGCTATCACTGACTCATAAACCGCCTCAGATTGCTTAATATTTTTATATATGCACGTAAATACTACTGTATATTGAAACAAAGCCTGATGACGGTCTCATTAAAAATAATATTTTTCGTTAACGTATGTTCTAAATCACAATAAAGGGATTCATAGCATTTTAAGTAAAGTTTGTATAAAAGTACGACATGACATCCACTTCAATTTAAAAAATCTATTCTTGTGATGAAACCTAAACTACTATTACGTCCCTCAAATTTGTTTTCAAATGACATTGATGATAAAACTTGTGCGATTAGGTAGCTCTACCTATACTTACTTCTACGTTAAGTAAGCTTTTAGATTTGTCTTCATATTTAAAGGTGAATAGGTACTTTTCAACATCCTAGATCTACGAGTACCTTTAATACATCCACCTCGTAAAATGGATTGGTACTGCCAACCAACTTATTTGTCCCTAGACACAATGTACATTCAATTTCCCTAATAACTGTTGAACGTATCTGATTGAGATTACTCGGATACATGCACAATCTAGCGAAATGTAAACAAAAAGACAAACTTTCTCACGACGTTTTACCACTAATTGTATTGGACCATCTACGGCAAAGGATATTTAGATGGAACACTTCTAATTATCACAAAGAGAACCAATTCACAACGCTGCACTGAAATTCGTCTCAGATAGAACACATAAATAATAAAACTCCAATCATCCTTGGAGCTGACTTATACTATCGGCATAAACGATCGAACGTTATGATAAGTGAATATTCATTGTTCTGAACAACACCGTTTTACGTTTAGGTTGGGAACTCAGTAAGAACGGAAAAATGAATTAAATACTATTTCTTTCTCATGTTGAAAAGAGAAAGGAAAGATGAACTTGCAGAAGAAATCGCCGACAGTAATATACATTCATGTAAGATTTTTTTTCGCTGCAATATGTATATGTTTTTCTAGTTTATCTGTAAAAGAATATATTATATGATATGAAACTTACATATTTTGTGCTTCCCACGTATAGGGAATTTAATTAAAGTTTCACGTGGATCAGCGCAAATAAATACATACGGACTTTGTGATGGTCCATCAGGTTGCTAATATATTAAAAATAAATAAATATTACCTGTATCACAAGCTTATGACTCATCAAAGTAAAATTAGGTTGACAGACCAAGTGAAATAATGTGAAACTTAATACAGTTATAATGCTTGTTGTGATCAAAACAAAAAAATTAATCGGTACAAACAAAATAGTCACTAGCATGATAATGACTAGTTAGAAGTAAACATTTAGTACCTATAAGGGATAATGTCTATCTGTACTTCCGAAATTGATTCTAAGTCATAATGAATGTCTTCAACCATTGATCTCTGCAGTTTGAAAATCATGGTAAGATAGCTCATACTTGCCAACATTACTGATCTCTATTAGATAAATTGATCGGATAATAAAATATTCTTTGAGAGAAGTAACTTTGAGGAACTTAATTATTCGTAAGATTATCCAAGCTGACACAGCTATTAAACCATAACCGTAATACGGGCGGAAACGGTAATTTGAATAAATAGAGATTTAGCGGTAATAATTGTATGTTTAAGAGGTTATCGGCGAGATTGATGAATGAATTCCGATAACAGCGATGCTGCCTCCCTACAAGGAAGGATAGGGTTAGAAAAGGTCGACTCTAAAAATGCACACCTCGCCTTCTCCCACGGGTTTCCGTCTCCGGCAGTAAGGTCTCAATAAACACGCAGTTAACACAAAATGGTGTGTGACGACCCAAAGTAGTTGTCCTTGGACACTGCGGTCACGCTCTCAGGTCACTAAGACCACCTCTAACCCAACTTACTTTTCAGGTACCTCTAGAAGAACCCTTCCACGGTGTAGGCGACCGGGAAGTGGGAACTGCCCTCACACACTTGACAACATTCAAGATCACTGTATTCATAATCAATCTCCCTATTCAATTCCTATTAATCCTCCTGCCTAGACTCTCAACTCTAAACTTCCTCTTCAAATGTCACCATAACCAACGACTCTAGTGCGCAAAACACTGTCCCAGGTCTACTAAAAACTCGCCCCAAACTACACATTGGAGCCTTCAACGTACATACCCTATTTCGAATCGATCATTGGACCTCCTTGACTAAAACCCTAGAATCTTTTACCATTGATGTATGCCATGTCTCTGAAACATGCATACAGGATCCCGGTGTGCTCATTTACTTGACCTCACCTCGCCAAAACAGAGACCCGACGGAAAATCCTCGTGGACTGGCGGGTGTTGACATAGTACTAATTACGAGAGCAGAACAAGCACTTTTAGGATGGATCCTTGTTGTTCGGCTAAAGAGTTCCGTAAGAATTCGGAAGGATAGGGACACACGTCGTTACCTTTTCATCATTTCTGCCTACGCTCCCACTCACCGCAGCCCGGATGAATTGAAAGACGACTTTTAGAGAAAGCTTTCTGAACTTCTTCATAAAGCTAAACACTCAGACATAGTACTCGTAGCAGGTTACTTCAATATTTAAACCAACCAGAAAGAAATTTAGGCGGGTACTTTAGTATTCCCCCTCAGTGAACAAATAAGGGTGATCGTCTGCTGCAACTATGCTCAGACAATCGTTTATTTCTAACAAACACTAATTCTAAGCATAAGGAGAGACATCGTCTAACACAGAGAATCCTGTATCAAATCAACGATGAACTCAAATAGACCACATTGCCATCGGTCATCGCTAGAGAGGCTCGATAGAAGACTACCGATCGTTCTGGAGTACATGTTTAAACTCTGATCATTTTCTAATACGAGCACGCATTAGCTTGCACCTCAATGGACCCAGAAAAGCCACATTAAGAAAACCCATTAGAGTTGAACTCAACGATGAGAAAGACAAAGATAAATCCCAGGAACAACTGAAGTCACACTTAGGCAATCTCGAAAACGAAGCTGACCCAGATGTTACCTGGAAAGATAATTGAAAAACGTTTTGGAAACGGCAAAAATATCTACTAGTGGTTTGAATCAAAGGGTTACGAAAAACCAATGGAGTTCCGCAACATACATTTCCCTGATAGACTCTCGTAAACATATTCCATCAGGCTTCGAACACAATCAAGAGCAAAAACAAATCAGATCTAGGTTAACCAAAAGTCTACGGAACGCTCGTAAGCAGCGGCGGGCAACGAAAGCAAAAGAGATAGAAAAGGCAGTGGCCGTAGGTAATTCAAGATAGCTTTTCAGACTAATAAAAGAGACAGGAATAAAGAAGTCAAGTGCAAGTGACACTATCTGGGAAAAAGACGACACTTATCTGCTCTCAGTCTAGACGTTTAGAACGATAGGCGGAATACTTTAGGGAGCAGTTCAGTTGGCCTTCAACTACTCTACAACTACCCACCATTCCCAAACAGCTTGAATGAAACATTGAAGTAGGCCCCCCGACTCTAAATGAAGTTCAAAAAGCTATAGCTAATCTGAAACGAGGAAGAGCAGCTAGTCCACATGGATTAACTCCAAAGGTATTTAAGTATGAGGGTCCAATTTTAGCGATTAGGTTGACTAATATTTTAGCTAAAATCTGGGAAGTGGACGTAATCCCATCCAACTGGTCGCAATCTCTGATTGTCCCAATATATATGAAACGACCAAAATCAGCCTGTGATAACCATAGAGGGATTAGTTTGACCGATATAGCATCTAAAATACTAGCCACAATAATTATCGGGTGCCTAACAAAGACTCATGAACTGAAAACTCGAGAAAATCAGGCTGGTTTCAGATCTAGTCGTGGTTGCATCGACCACATATTCACTATTCGTCAGATTTTAGAACATTGGTGTGCTTATCGGCGTCAAACAATGACAGTTTATCTTGACTTAAAAGCAGCATTTGACTCTGTAAACCGAGACGTTCTATGGAAAGTCTGTATTGAAAGGTGTACGTCAGAAATCTTGTCAGGGCTTTTTAATCGAACACTACCAGCCGAGTCAGAGCTTATGGCGAACTGTCATCTGATTATGCAACCTCAAGTGGCGTCTAATAAGACTGTTCACTATCTCCATTTTTGTCTAATTTCATCACAGACCTACTGCTGGAAATAACTTTCTCGTCGGCTGAACTTTCAGGAATTGACCAACTACCAAGAGGTCCACTTATGGACTTAGAATATGCAGGTGACATAGTCCTGTTTCGTGAAGACGCCGATAAAATGCAAAGTCCTTCAGTGGCACTAACCAACAATGCCAGGGTGTTTGGTATGCGTTCTTCCTACTCTGAATGCAAGTTGTTGTTTCAGGACTGCCTGAGTCAGCACCTTAACAAAGGATCGGAAGTGAAGTAGTTGAACACATCTGATCAGCCCAAGTGGGATGTGTCTGACGAAATCTCAGCACGGATTCAGAAAGCTCGTTTGGATTTCGCCAACTCACGTCACCTATGGCAAGGGTGAGATATTCATCTATCAATTGAAGGACGAGTATAGTGCGCAGCAGTTCGTTCTGTTTTACTTTACAAATGCGAAACGTGATCATGAAGGTTAGAGAATACTCGCAGGTTACTAGTATTTGATCACAGATGTCTTAGAAATGTTGCTCGTATCTGCTTCGATCACCGGGTAAGTAATAATGGTTAGGCGCAGAGTATTAGCGAACGATGGCAAATCAGTTGATGAGGTTGTAAATATTCATCGACTGCGATTGTGGACCCACGTATTACGCATGCCCAATCACTGATTACCACGACGCGCAATGCTGACTAGTGTTGGAGACGGTTGGAAGAAAGTTAGGGGCGGTCAAACCATCAGTTCATAAAGTCACTTACTAACTCTTTCTCGCTGTATCATATCCTTATGCATTTCTAACACTGAGGTAACTGCTTCTTTCAATATGGTATTTATCTTGTGTTAATAAGGTATTGCAACTAGGACTAATGCATATATTTGCCTGGCATTAATCGAATAACCAGAGGTAACCTATTACTGTATTGGTAAAAAAGAACACGACCAGAAGGTCAAAAATTCAACTAAATTAAGGTTAGCAGTTGTTATGATAAGATTTAATGATACGAACGTTGATAAATGTAATTACAATGCAAAACCTAAGTATCGATATTGAGAAAAAAATAGAGTTAAAAAAGACAAGATTATGATTAAATAGGCGTAAAGTATTCATTAAATTTTTTGAATAAAATATCAGTCTATTGAGTTTAAAATACAATAATTAACCCAGATAAATAATTGAGGACAAAAACAAAAATTTAAATTAGATCATTAACTTATGATATCTTACTTTTTCACGATATTCTTCTTGTGTTATCACATTTACAATATTAACTCGACCAAGAAGACAACTTGTAGGATATGATGTTGGCATATCTGATTTGGGGACACCTATAATTAATAATATTAATAAAAATTTTGGAATATTTGAGCAAAATCATAAAATTAAAATCTGTGGTTTCATATTTCTGCATTATACAATTATAGTATAAAACAAAATAGTGTGCATGGACAAATAATTACATCAGATGCTGAAATTTTAAAAATTGAAACCATGAGCTTAAATGTTAAAGAAGAAAGAGCTTTAGTTACTATCGTTTAAAAAAGATACTTATAAATATTTTCAGTAAAAATAAGTATCTCTTTAAGCGAATTACTCTTCGAGTTGTATAAGAGGGAAATAATAGATCTAAGATTTTAAAGAATAGCAGTGATAAGTTTAGAACAACGTCTTTACAGCTAGATATTATCTCCATCTTGGGAAATAAAACTGACTGAACTTGAATGAAACGCCCAGGTTTTTGTCAAGATTACTAAAGAAATCCAAAGCTTTAGAACACACAACAATTTAGGTGAGTGACAGTTTTAATTAATTTATTTATTTGAACACATACATATTGGTACAAGAGTGCGCCAAATATTTATGCGCCACACAAAACAGTCAGAATTTAAAGAGAAGGAAAAAGAAAAAAAGTAAGGAGGGTTAAAAGAAGACCAATAAGGAAGAGATTGGTGTAAAGTAGTGTAATAATAATAGTAGTAATAATGGGGGAACGGAAAGGTACAATCAGAAGAAATCTTTCAGTTAAGGAAGATACAACCACTTTTTATGAAGAAGGTTACAGAATGATGATCGCCACTGGCTTCTATTCTGAGCCATATCTGATAACGTCTCTAGCCACTGTGTTGCGCTATCTCTCGAACCCCAGTCAGGCAGTCGTGAAGGACCAACAGAAGCCAGTCCTTTACAACTTTCTTTCATACCACGACACCATGTCATATACTGACCACCTCTCCGCTTTCTCCAACCAGTCCCAGAGTCGGCAAATAATGCACGACGTGGAATTCTCTGGGACGACATTCGAAGAACATGTCCAAGCCACCGAAGTCTATGTTTTAAGATGGTGACACCGATTGCATTATCGTCTCTGTGTTCGAACACACGATGCCGAACCTCTGCACTACTAGCATGGTGTTGCCACTGGATGTCAGCAATTCTTCGGAGACAACGATGATCGAACACAGAGAGTCGTCTAACGTCCTCAACTCGGAGAGGCCAGGTTTCACAACCATAGAGCAAAACTGCTCTCACCGACGCGTTATAGATCCGACCTTTTACAGCCAGACTGACATCACGAAGGCGCCAAAGACAGCCCAGATTGGCATAAGCCACTCTGGCTTTCACTATGCGTGCATTGATCTCATCACTCATGCCCCCATCAGCACTTATGCAGCTACCCAGATACACGAACTTCTCGACTACTTCTATCTGCTCACCATCCAGGGTGAGTACAGGATTAAGATCCTGTCAGTCTTGTAGAAGTACTTTGCACTTCGAAGGTGCAAAGCACATACCATACCTACGGACACTGATTGCCAACTGATTAAGTGCGGATTGCATGCCTTGGGCATTATCGCACAGTAAGACAATATCGTCCGCATACTTTATTCATTTTAACACATAGATATTGGTACAAGGAGGCACATATGCGCCACACGGATCTCATTTGATATGTGTGAGGGCTGTGATACTGCCCGGGTGCCCAAACCGAAGCAGGTGCAAAGGTGAGGATTGGCAAAGCAATGACAGCATTCTTACAGCCGAAAGACACATGAAACTCAAGACAACTGTCTGCAACTCAACATCAAATTCAGAATCTTGAATACGAAAGTCAAGACAGTTCTATTGTACGGAGCTGAAACTTCGAGAACTACTACAACCATCAACAAAAAGGTACAAGTGTTTATAAACAATTTTCTACGCCGGATACTCGATGTCCTTTGGCTAAATACCATAGGCAAAAGCCTATTATGGGAGAGAACAAACCAGCTTGTAGATGGAGAGGAAATTATGAAGAAACTCTGGAAGTGGATAGGAGGCACATTGAGGAAATCATCAAACTGCATCACGAAGCAAGCACTATCTTGGAGTCTTGAAGGAAAAAGGGGAAGAGGAAGGCAAAGTACACACTGCGCCGAGAATCGGCAGCAGAAATGAACAGAATGAGTAGCAACTGGAAAGGATTTCTCAGGATAGAGTTGAATGGTGAGTGCTAGTAACTGACCAATGCTTCTCTACGAGGGGTGACAGGCGTAAGTAAGTAATCTGAGTGACATGATATTAATATAATTAAACTTGTATGTATCAAACAGTGCATTTGTTCCTTGTAATAATAAAACTAGTTTCAACTTGGAAAAGTTAGTTATTTTCACTGGGTATGTATTCAGATAATCGTAGTGTAATTACATTTGTCTTTCTTAAAGTTATATAATACCTTTTCTGCTTCTCTTTTAGAAGGTTTATTGTGCTGTAGTTGAGAAAGTTTTACTTCTAAGTACGGGTTAGTTATCTTTTCTCATACCTATCGGTGAAATAACATAGAACAATCTTACTTTTATTATGATTAAAAGTAATCAGAGTTGAATTATGCATTTATTTGTCATCTACTCTGTACTCACCAATCTTCATTTAATGATCGAGATAATCAATATTTTTCACAGTTATGCTCACAGTAATAATCTTTTACAACTGATTACCATGTATAATAATAATAAGTTTGTTTGACGTTATATGTTTAGTACAATGCAGAATTTCGGTATGCAAAAATAATTAAGTATAATCTATAAATAAAAAGACTAATCCATAGGAAACCTAAATATACATATGAGTATTTACATTACTACATCCCTAACTTAGTAAGATTGATAGCAATTTATAAAACTAAACCTGTTTATCGCTGATATAGAATAAATATGAATGTTATGAATACTACATCTTTAGAAAGTATTTTAAGTCTCAGTAATTGAATATTTTACACTGCATACGCAACAAAAGAATGTAAAATATTACCAGCCTTCAAATATTTATTCTCGATTTCAGTGATTTCCTCTGGATCAGTTTTATTTGCTGTCGATGCTATCCACAGACATCCACGATACGGAGTATACCATGTTCTACCTTCTTCCCTGTTTATGCAAATAACACATAGAGGAATTTAACAAGCATACATATATTTAAGTAAATCATTTTTAATGAGTCACAAAATCTTTGAATAATTAATGGACGAATCGATCTCATAATTTACCAAAAGCATGTTCCTACTATTTGATAAATATGTGAAAAGATATGAAATAAAATACTGTGAATATTCCAAAGATTTAAAATGAAAAGAGAAAAAAACGGATAAAGAAGTGATATTTATAAGACTCATAAATCAATCTACATAATTTAAGGCCATTGACTAGGTGGATCTATAGAGAATTCAACCAACTTGCTTGATGCTACCGCAGTGAACGAGAACACTTATCGGGACAAACAAATGTATTTGGATACAAAATTACCGAATATCTTGGTAAAATCTGGGAAACATGCAGTAAATACTTAATTTGCACAATGTCAATCAATTATCTAAGTCTTGATTGTCCCTTTATTTTTACACCAATCACTATCTGTTTTCCTTTTCTCTTTGATTTTTTTTAACCTTTTACAGCCAGGCATTTTAATTTCGATTGGTGATACATACTGTAGTAAACAGAACACGGGTGGGGACAATCGAATGTATTTAACACAAAATTACAGAACTTGCTAATAAAATTTAACAATCATAAAGTAAATGCTTAATTTGCAAAATGTCCATCAATTGTCTCAAAATGACTCAGACTTCATTGTTCTTACATTTTCATACAAATTGCATCCTGTTTCTATTCTTTACTGTTCGATCCTCTTGTCTCTCTGCTGCCAGACCTGTTTACGATTAATATCATATACTACTTATGTCAATATAAGTAGCACACACCACAATACTACTTTTATCTGTAGACAGCAGCACACAGCACACCATAACTAACGCACAACGTTACACAAACAGGGGCACGATGTGCAAACTGCTTAATTATTGAGTAAATAAAATAGAATAGTAACTGATATTTTGATATGAATTATGATGAATCATTCTTATCTCAAGCCGAATGGAAATTAATCCTACAATTTTGATGAAGAGATCAAACTGCCTTACTCCATTGAAAAATATTTTAGGGACTAATCTATGAATCACGTCTGATTAGTAAACAAACTTTTTTGAATGACTAGCATTGTATCAAAGCTTTTGAATGTAAATAATCTTTTTTCGAGAAAATACCATACATTTGTATCAATTGTAAAACAGAAATTGGTTTTAAAAATGCTTACGAGGACTTACAACTTGATTCCACGTACTAATAATGAAGCCCAAGGTTGATGAAGGCTTAAACAATAACCTTCATCGACAAGTTGTCTTGACTCATCATCTTGTATTCGTAAAAGAGAGGTTGATTGATTTAATGCCACAATGACAGGATTTTGATCACTATAGTTTTTGCTATCCATAGATTGAGGTATAAACTACAAAAGTGATTTTCACGTATTACCAGGGTTTTGACATTAAAATGAAATCTTTTTAAAGGTTAATATAAAATGCACGGCTATTTTTTAATTTTTTTTCTAGTGAATAATTTTTCATCCCCATTTACCAATAATTTTCATTCGGTTACGTCCAATCAAATAGCTAGTTTTAAATTCGTTATAATTGGTCGTTTATTTCGTAAAATTAATATAAAATGTCAGAACGTGACGACAGAGCACATTTTCTTCCAGTTATGGACGGTAATAACGTGCAAAGCACGAGCCCTGTCATTTTTCACGTTGTCACGGAAACCGATAACCTATTCTTGAACACATTGTATCTCGTAACGCTCTAATCATTAGAACTTATGAAAGACCTATGTATTGTCATTGTGCGGTGAGAGATTCTCATTTCCATAGAGATTGGAAGCCGTATATTAAAGTTGTATGTTGGAAAAATGGCCGTATAACACCTAGCGGTTCCTCACAGCCCAATAGACTAAGGAGGTAATTTGATTAGTGTTATTATATTTTTTCATAAAGGACTTCCGTGAACATTCAATGTACTTCCTTCATCTTTTGTACGTTACCAACTATCAAAATAACGTCGATATTGATGCAACGTTAAGCAATGACGAGGAAGAAATTGTTTTTAATACCTTAGAGGAGTTCGCTGAACGAGACGGCGACAATGACGAAAACGCGTATGACAACAGACTTTGTGATATTCGCAATCTTGCGCAACCGCCACATGAAACTGCTGATGCAAGTGACTGGATATTTCGTACATGAGAAGCAATGTCCCATTTATTTTGGGCTTACGACCCATCAACACACGTCCATGGAATCCACTGTCCCATGTGCGGCGCTATAACAGAATCATAGCAACGCCTTTGTTCATGAAATTTGGAACTGTTAGGAGAAAGAGTAAAGGCCCTTTTCAGGGCCACCCACAATTTCATTTACCTTCTTTTGTTTCAATTCCTTATTTCCATGGCAAAGTTCAAGTGATGAAGCTATCAAAATTCATTTTAGATTAATAATCATTATGTGATTATCGCCCACGTATTCGTAAATGCTTTTTAGGCTTTATCAAATATACGGTTTAAGTAAACGGTTTCGTATAGAAGAAAATTGCATCTAATGAACACGAATCTGTCTAACAACAGTACATGCAAAACATATTCAGAAGGTTTCAATGTTTTGTCATATAGTTACGGTAGATGAATGTAGTACGACCAGTTCTCTAGTACAACGACATTATTTCTATGGGAAAAGTTAACTGAGCCAACACTGATGAATTCTAATTAAGCCTTAGTGATTAAGCAATATAATCAATTGAGATTTTTAAAGATTTCGTGGACTAGTTAAAGTTAGACATTAACAGGTTTTCCGTTATACACTAACGCAGATTAAGTCGATAATAATACACAAGAATAGTAAGGATATATATTTCGACAGCATCCATTCATACGACTCAATCGGAGCCAGACATCAAGACACAAAAAGTAAACAATTACTAGGACTAAACATCATATCAGCAGTGTGCTTGACTATGCAATTTAATTTGACGAACGTTTAACTGATGTATATATGTGTTACACAGTTAAATGAATCCTGACTATATTTCTAGTGTATGTGGTTGTCAATGAATAGAACTACCCATATCCTATACTTAAACCCAGATAATGACGAAAGAAGCTTAATGATAACCCACCTACGAAGATTGATTATTAGTCAGCCGATAGGGTGACAATAAAGAGTACTATTGTGGTGCGTGCTACTTATATTGACATAAGTAGTATATAACGCAAGTCAGGAATGTAATGTTTGGCAGCAGAAGATGGGGAAGTCAAGAAAGGAAGAACGGGAATAGAAAGCAATTAATATGGAAATGCAAGAACAATGAAGTCCGAGACAATCATTGAACATTTTGCAAATTGGGTATTATATTATGGTTTTTCTATTTTACCAAGTAACTGTAATTTTGTGCTATGATTCGGTTGTCCTGACCTGTGTTCTCCTTCACTACACTATGACATCAACAAACACACAAATCAAATTATATAACGATGATAAAAATAAAGAGTAGACAGAGTAGGGATATTTGACAGGGGAAATACGAAACTAGGAATCACAGTGTTAACTACAAAACAGCAAGTAATGAGATGTTATTTTCGGAGAATTTGAATACCTTCAACAGTTTAAATTGACAAAAATGAGACAACTTACAGTAGGCAGGGTAATTTCACCATTATTTGAGTTGACAGTTTTTTGACTATCTCCGGAAGACTGATTAACATTTGAAACAGCTGAGGATTTACAAAGTTCATCCATTTCTTCTTGATTTGGATTGTACAATTTCACAGCTGCTTCATCTCTTGTATCCTTACAAAGAAATAAAGTACAATTATAATAACGCTTCTAAAATAATACGATGCACAACCACTTAATGAGACCGTTTCATAAAAACTTTTATAAGCTATATAAGTCTATATAAACATTCACATTTACATAAAGCCTGAACCAAAACCTCCACTAAATACTGATGACAAAGAATTCTTATGAAGCATACTTTTGGAAATTAAGACATTAACAGCTTTGACTACAGTTATTGAAAATAAGCAAATAGCCCCGGTATAACGAGTAGAAGTGAAAAAAGTCACTTAAAGAAATAAAACATCAAATGAGTAGCAATTCTAGAGGACAATGATTTTTGTATGATAAACTTTTCAATGACTTTTAGTTAAATAAAATACCAAATCTCTTGTTCGTGAGTCCTGTGCTTTTCCAACATAGTTTGTCTTTTTCCTTGCCATAAAGTTTTATTCAATACCCTGTAGTTGCAACCCAACACTTGAGGAAAAGTTTGGATTTCGTTGAGTATGTTTATTGAGTCGTTTTTAACCTATAAGAATCTCTGTTGGTAAAATATTATACGGCATTGCACCATTAATAGAGGTGTGATATTCAAACAGTCTTTGGAGAGTTGTCAATGTTCTCTTATTTGGCAATTTAAAAATAAACAGCTTGAACGTGTCTACGAAGTTTTCCGCTTTGTCACTGAATTGCACATGACAGAGTGATGAATAAATATGTTAATCAGTGATGCCATCTCATTGGTATGAAATGTACAGAGTAAACCGGGATAATTTGCGGATAGATTAGTTAATACACTACTAATTTCAGTCCTAAGTTTGTTGGACTGATTGGTTATGCAGTGATCATTTTTGTACGGGATTGATTTACACTAACGGCATCGATTTTATTTGTAATAAGTAAAGCCTAACAAACTATTATGATTCACAATCCTAACATTAGGGCCTTTTCGTTGTAACAAGAACCTGTTCTGTGAGTATGGTATAGGAGATGAAGAGTTAGAGACATTCAAGACAGACATGTAAGACACTACCTGATTCGGAGTACGGCAAACGACATATCCTGCTAAAATACACAGAGATACTGATAAGACTGGAGCAATGTTATGCTTCAGACTGAAAGGTCGTCAATGACCGTTAATTTATCCTGTATTTTAACAGCTTTTCCCAACATTCCATTTTTCATTACCAACAAACCCATCATACAATGCTAAGACACTACACGTCTCACGTTACTAACTGCATATCAGAATCAGTAGGGTTTCTTCAGAGTGAGCATTACAAATAACAACAACACTTTTGTGTTTATACAAACCAGAACGACCTAGTTTTTTCTCTCATAAAATGGTCCACCCTTACAATTAGTCTATTTAGCTTACAGTCTTTACCGAATGATAACTGACATGACACACAATTAGCAAGAATATGTTTATGATTTATATATCTCTGCGGATGGTAAAAACAGACGATTGGCAGTTGTTAAAGGGCTACGAAAAATCTTTTTGGAATCCTTCACGGCTCTATTTGTAGTGAATAAATGTATTAAATAAGGAAAGGATTGATGCACAAATGTTGCTACACATGCTAACGAAACAGAGTGAATTCATTATTACGCCACAGTTTGGCTATTGTATGAATCAGAGACTGTAAATAACATGAAATAATAAATGCCTAATGAAAAATAACTGCCCCATTTGTTATGAAAATCGCTGACTGACACCGAAAACTTAACTTAAAAACAGCTGAATTAATAAGGGTTTATGGCAGAAACTTTTGACATAACTCTTCAGTAGACAGAACTGTAATAATTAGATATTTTCAATGCAGCTTTCTGTTTACTATGTGCTATAGCCTAAAGCTGCCAATCAGGAGCAACGAATTATCAATCGAACCAAGGACGCGTAAAACATGTGCGAGCAGCCTAGAGTCCTGATTGGTCCTGCTTCCCGCCTAGCCCAGCCAGTTAAGTCCAGAACACTAGTCTCAGCCTCTGTAATATGAATCCTTATATTTCAAACACGTTGAGTTTATATACCAATCAAACAGACCACAACGTAGCATAAAATAGAAAATAACATTTGTACAAAATTTGGCCAGATGTGGCTGTGAATGTAGGAGGCAGTGACTAATAGACAGGGAATAATTCAAGAATGGTAAAACCTACAATAATGGTTCATAAGTCAAAATAAAGTTTATAATAAGAGGAATATGAACATGAGTAGTTTAGTTATTTGACAATTATACGATAAAAATAAACGTTTGGTATTGGTTCATAAAAGGATCCCAAATTTACCATTCATTATGTTTATCGGGACCTAACACTATGTAGATAACTACTCAACTATTTACTATGTTAGAATCTTGTTGTCAAGAAACCTTTATTTGTAGTCAATCAAAATCTTACGGGTTTTATGGATTTTTAGAGTTTATTGAAATTTATCATTAGGTAAGACAATCAACAATCCAGATTTATACAATATGACTATTTGTTATCTTAAAAATTATTTTATAGATCTCTAGGTTGAAGATTAGCGGTCAAATATAACTGCATAGGAAAACAGTTTGAATCCATGACAAATGTTTTTATTTGGTCATATCACATCATTCGAACTGTTTGAAGATATCACCTGAAGAGACAGATAGTTTAGAATAATTTAAAAATGCTGAACTTCATATAAGGATACGTTGAGTCTTTCATATGAAGCATTATACCAGTAACTAACCAGTGTGATCAAATTATCACAGAAAAGATTAATTATGTTAAGGTTGAAAACAATGAGCTCATCAGAACAAGTTAAGAATCCGATGTTCATAGTGCAACGGTGTCCCGTTCTATGTTAAGGAACTTTTCACAGGTGAAATTCAACACTAAGCTTATTAAACAGAAATGAACCTATCAGTCAAAACTCAATAGGAATAGCTCAATCAACATGAAATCAATAAGAAATGCTGATGAACATCATCAAGAGGAATGAAAGTTTCTTTAAAGAAGGAACATATAATTATTTCTATGTAAAATATTTCACTGGGATAATTTCATTTGATACATATACATACTAACCTCCTTTATAACATCGCATTTGTCTAGGTCAATACACATACGTGCAGACTGGAGACGATGTGAATGCCTTTGGGCTCGTAATTCAATTACGCGTTGAGCTATCTTCTCACGAACTTCAGGACTTAACCATGCAGCTGATCCAACGCCACCCTCTGTTGCGAAATAATCTAATTCATCATCAATAACTCTAGTTCGTCTAGCACAGGTAGTATCAAACTCCAAAAGTTTATCACGTTTACATAATGCATTGATTAAACCTAAAACGAGATTATAAGGGTAGGAAAGAAATGTAAATATCTTTCACTAAAGTGGAGAAAAAGAGGTATATTAAGGAAGGTTAATAGAATGAATTTCATTTTCAAGTATAGAAGCAACGACTGTTTATGATCAAATCATATTCAAGGGAGCATCATACATCCTGCAATCATAGAGTCGTAAGTCAGTCAGTCAGTAACAACGTAGAACTTCGTACGTACGTACATCAGTTCAAGTTGCCACACCACATTAGCACAGAAATACAGTGGTCGATTCAAATCCCGTAGTGCTAGATGTAGTAAAATTATAAGCCATAATCAGAAAAATTAGGGTTTGAGGATGTTATTCAAGGAGTATAATACAGTGAAATAAATTTGGGAACAAAAAAAAGACAAGGAGGAATAAGGAGATCGAAATTTGGGAGAACACAAAGAGTGTATGCACCTGCGCCATTGCAAACGAATTTGAGCCATGTCACTCACGGTCTCTAACCATCGGTTGCTATCGTCTAGTGGATTCCAACCAGGTAGTCTATACATACCAACGTGACTCGGTCTACTTGTCAGTGACTTCATGGACTTGTTCCATGTTTTGGTCTGGTCGCCCCTAGCTTTCTTCCAATCTACTCCTATACCACTGAACATCGCACATCGAGGCAGTCGGTCGTTGGGCATACGTAACACGTGTCCCAGCCATCTCAACTGATGAAGTTTCACTACGTCATCAATTGATTTGCCATCCTTACCTAGTACTCGTTTCCTAACAACTGCATTACTTACTCGATGGTCCCAGGATATACGAGCAATGTTTCGAAGACACCTATGATCAAATACTAGTAACCTACGAATATCCTCTACTCTTATCGGCCATGTTTCACTGCCATACAGTAGGACGGAACGAACTGCTGCGCAGTTAACACGTCATTTGGTTGATAGACGGATATCTCGCCTACGCCATAAATGACGCAAGTTGGTAAAAGCTAGTCGAGCCTTCTGTATCCGTGCTGAGATTTCGTCACACACCAGACCACAAGGGCTGATGAGACTTCCAAGATAAGTGAAGAAGTTGACACACTCAATTACTTCACTCCCTATCACTAGTTCGGGTGTCGATGCAACCCAATCCTGAAGCAACATTTTGCATTTTGAGGGGGAGAATCGCATCCCGAACATGCTAGCACTGTTGCTTAGAGTGGTCAGAAGACTCTGCATTTTGTCAGCGTCTTCACCAAATGGAACTATGTCATCAGCATATTCTAAGTCAACAAATGAATCTCCCGGTAGAAGTTCAACTCCTGGAGATTTAGATGAGGAAAGTGTTATCTCTAAAAGTACGTCGATGACAAAGTTGAACAAGAATGGAGAGAGAGAGAGTCGTAAGTATTTGGAATAAACCATATCTACAATTTTGACTGCATTTAAAACTACATTACTTACGATATTAGGATGATACTCAAACAGAAGCAGTCCTTCTCATGAACTGGATTCTGCGTTTACGTTAATTTGAAAATGAGCTTAAGGTATTGTAAGGAACACATATAATGCCCTAATAACTTCAATGAAGCAATATGTATCGCAAATTAAGTGTACATGTATTGTTCAGTTCATCTTTTTAATTGATCTCTACGATAGTTCCATCAACTGTTTGTCCTACAGTAATTTTTAAAAAAATCGAAATGGCTTGTATGCTTCAACAATCTAAAGTATATTATTACTCTCTCCAAGTCAATAACTCAATTTTCAATCAATAATGTGATATATATATATATATATATATATATATATATATATATATATATATATATATATATATATATATATATATATATATATATACCAAGTTTCGCAGAGGGTGTAAGGATTATGAGAATAAAATATCAATAATCAATCTTAAGTTGTCTCAGTAACAGAAATGGATAGTGTAGCTTACTTTTTGGTTATAATTCAATCGGGTTTAGGATATTTTTAATCCTTTAACTTGTAGTTTGGGGAAAAAATAAACGTGTATATTTTGTGTTTGCAATAAATCATATCACATTATCAACCGACTTGCCTTGTTCCAAACGAATTTGAGCTCCCTGGGCTGACTTTTTTATTAGGTCATTGTCATCACTATCACTTTCTAGTCCATTATTTGAATTAGACTCAGTAGAGATTATTTCACTGGTTGATTCTTGTTTTGATTTTTGAGCTCGACGAATAAGTCGATAATATGGAGTTTCAGTGCCAGGTGCCCATGCTGCTTGCGATAGTTTATTGAGTAGTTTCTGATTATGTTTAGTAGTCCCTAATGATAATTGGTATTCCTCGTCTATTGTACAAACAAGATTTCCACAATAGTAACATGGACCTGAACCTTCCTGTGCACAGACTATACGACCACAATTTAAACAATTATTGACTAACTGATGCTTAGTTGCCAAACACTGACAAGGATGCCGACCAGGTAAGAGAGAAACAAGTTGATCACTCTGAGCTCCTTCACAAAATAATGGATAGAACTTGGGTTTTTTTTTATTTTTAGTAGTTTGTGATGATGAATGCTCTACATCAATCTACACCAACCAAAGAAAAAATGGATTTATGAGGGGATGTATATTTACATATAAGTACAATTATTAGTGAGGCAAATTGGATATCGATTCTCAACTGATGAAGAATAGAGTTTCGGTAAGGATACAAAAATAAGCTTTTCTCCTTTCCCACCAACGGAATCTGTACGATATGATGTATACCAGACGTCATATAAGAAAGTGGGTGTACTTCACAGCAGTCAGCTGTGCTTTACTCTACAGTTGTGAAACATAACCACTGTGCTATTATGAGATTTTCAATAATTATTTCGGAAGATTTATTAACCAACGGGGAAACCACCGAGTGACCCAAGTTAGAGTGTATACCAAAGTAAATAGATACCATGTGGACACTGCCAGGTATAGAAATTAGGAAAACGTTAGTGATGATCAGACGGAGATATGACATCAGACTAACAAACTACTTGGACATGATCTGAAGAGTATATGGAGTAGAGACCTTTGAAACAGAGTCCATGAAATAATCGTTTGCAGTAAGGAGATCGTTGATGATATTCTATATCAATTACTAGTCCATTGAAATCTTAAGTGTAAGTCTTGTTGTCGACTGCTAACTAGCACAAACAAAGGTTTATGCTTTCCTGGCAATCGCCTCTATCCACCTAATTTCCTTAAAGTGATAAACAGAATATACTGATTAGTATTACTATCCGTCAAACCTACACCTAAACTTTTTGCATATTTCTATGCAAAAGGCAAATCCGAAATACGACGCTCTGTGTATTATTATCATTGTTATTATGAAAATGCGCTTCCTTACCATTAAAAGTCACCAAACAATTAGAAACAGGCTTAGTTACTTATTGAAAAGTAGTAGGTCGAAAATAAAACATATGAATAAGAGACTGATTATTTGCAATAGGACATTTAGATTACAGCACACTTTATAACCAGTCAGTGAAAGATATAATTGTTATTTTAACACAAACGAAGTGGTTTTCGTTCTGCTTATGTTTGATATATGGGACTTTTTAGGTGTCATTACCAAGGTTTGATTTGATAATTTCGAATAAATTGAGCATTGGGTTGATTGATATAAATAAAAATAATATATTTGTAATATCCCAATGAGTAGAAAATTGGATTTTCTGACGTTTAAATAGTACAACGGAACAATGCATTGTTCCGTTGTACTATTTAAACTTGTATTAATTTTAATTTGGTTATTTATTCTCTGAAGAAGTGACTTACACTAAGTCACGAATCGTCAGAAAATCCAATTTTCTACTCATTGGGATATTACAAATATATTATTTTTATTTATGATATATGGGACATTTTAATAAGTCAATTATCACATTCAGTGGACAAAACGGTGGCAATGATTTAACAGTGCCTAAAGCAGATATCAGGAACTACAAAATTACCTTAATTTGGGGAAGATAATGAGAATTTTCGTGTAGAATAATTCGAATTACAAGGGGTTTCGCTAAGAAGTACAATTAGGGCCATTTATTTTAGGAATCTTGAAAAGTTTATTTGATGCACAGTGTGTGGTCGCTAAAAAATATATATTTCTAAACTATATATATGAGATATAGATTGATTTCTATGATTTTCATTTTATGTATTCGGCTTTAGATTATTATTATTATTATTAGCTTTATTCAATATTATGTTTTTGGTACAATATAGAATTCTCAGCGTAAAGTATTTCAACAAGTTTCCGTTTCTTTCTTCTTAGTCGGTCCTGACGATAAATATCGAGTGATCGCCAGTTAGATGTTAGCAGTTCAGTAAATGAAAATCTGAATAATGTGCATTCTTTTCACTGTATATTGCCAGCAACCACATTGTCTCTTATTGAGTTTTTTGTAACTTTGACAACGAAATGTTGTACACTTTTCAGAAACGCAGCAGAATAGGTTATGCGATTAGTGAACATATGCCACATGTGATATTAATTATGTTATCTAAAAAATAAAACAAACCTTTTCTGAATTTGAAATCCTGTCGGAAGATGTTGATATATTATTTAAAACACCTGAACTACAATTAGATTTACGATAACCCTAGGAGAAAAAAAACACATTTGAAGTGAAGTTAAATTATTTGGCACACGATAATAACTGGAGTTCAATTTATGAAATACGATGTTTAAATCACTTTAAAGTTTACATGTGGTGCTAAATACAGACAGCTATCGCACAGTATCCAGAATGAGTTGTTTTCCTAAATAAAATTATATGAGCAAAGCTTTTCACATCGCACCAAGAAAATGATTTTGACTAATTTTCCACTGAAACATTTGCTAGTTAGCAACCCAGCCAATGAAACAATTCGATCAAGAACGTATGATGCTATAACATTTGTGTAAATTACATCAAATGCAGTTTACTTTTTTTCAACTGTATAGGATCAAAGCATATACCGAAATAGAGTAGACCTTTTGGTAGTAAACTCCACTAATAATAAAAATATGATTAGATCGATGCACCCATGTCCAAGTTAAGGTCAAAGTGACTATAACATGTTTGGTATTCTCGGACTTGACGTCATTAAATAGTATTGACCACACCTTTTTCGTAACTAGAGAATTCCCTGTCTTATTTAATGGTACTGAGAGCTATCAGTTTAATTAGGGATTCCTTACAAACATTCTGAATACTTCTAGAGATCACTTGTTGAAAACTGCTGACCATCCCTCTGCTATGTTCGCTAGTTCCATTCACTTGGAACTCAGCGGCCAATAACAACACCGTATAGAGACTGAGACTCAACGCACAGCAACTAAAAGGCAACCAGAGATAAGTTAGATGGTTTTGTAAAACACTTATCGTTCAGTCATTCAGTTTCGGATTTTTTACTAACTACTTTTACTAACAAACCATCAGTGGTACACAATTTCATTTTTTGCATATCAAATATTCCCACATATCTTAAACGTTGTACCGAAGGTGGATGAAATATTAATTTGTGACTAACAAACATTTTGCTGCAGATACGTAGTAACATCGAATAAACTTTATTTTGGTTGAGTTCAAACAGTTTTTGTGCCCTTGCTCATCAAATTCATAAGATAACCATGACAATCTGTTGCAAAACTCGGATAACAAAATTTTAGAAGTATGAATATTTTTAAAGACGTGTATTTGCACAAAATGTATTAATACCGTGATCTTATTGGTTAGATAAAGCACTACCATTATTATCAAATCATCTAATGAAACTCATGAAAGCTTCTTTCCAAATAATTAAGCTGGCGCTTTGACACTGTACTCTCCTACTGGAAACGTATACATAAACTTACCACGGAAAGAGACAGTAGTTAGTTAGAACTAATTCCTCGTGTCATTATATATATATAGTAATCTTTCATTAACATTTCGTATTTTACTGATGTTTATCTGTACAAACTATTTTTGTTTGTTTGTAGCCCAGTACCATTTACATTCTAGAAAAACAACCGATAGAATTTCGTGTTACCTTTATATTTAGTCTTGTTTGCTGTAATCGTGAGTGGATTAGCTGTGTTTGTTGGTCCAGTGGGTTAGATGCAATCATAAGTGAAATATGTAATTAACAGTCTCTTAACCGAGACACACAAATGCATTCACTCCAATCAAATGCCTAAAATGCCAATGCAAGGAAACGCTGTTGAAAATTAATAACCGAATGTATGTACTGAGTGATTTATAAGCTGGAAAATTATCGATGATACAAACTGACCTCCCCAGTAAATCCACTTCTTCGTATCTTCTCTCGTATCAGAATTTCATAAACCTGACGATTTTCCATTTTACGAGTATCTAGTAGAGTAGATACACGTCTTTTTATCATTTGAGTATCATCAACTTCCATGCAAGCTCTGTAACAATGTATCAATGATACTTCTAAAGAAAGTAATTAAATCTACTTTATAAAATCCGTCGCAGCTTTTTCACCCAATGTCTTGGTCAATATACACTTTACTTTTTCCATTACGATCTGCAGAATAGGAGCACAACCATATAAATCTTTATTGGAAGTTAGAAAACACACATTTTAACTAAACATTTACAAAGTCAAAGAAGTTTGAAAGTAGTTAGGAACTTAGAATTGCAGCCACTACCGTCCTAACCACAAACCCATAGCTTTACTGAGATGTGGGGACAATCATGTATCGCCTATGGAAGAGATATAATTCTAGAGGGTGGGAAATCGGAAAGTATCAATCGTTTCCAGGACTATTATCACTAACAAGTTAACAATACCCACAATCAGACAGCAGACATGAACGAAAAAACACCACGCTCCAACATACAACCATTGTTCGCAAAACATAAGAAATAGGATTGGAATATGATGAGCTTTTAACATGAATCCTAAGCAAAAAGAAGCAACTTTTTGTTTGAAGAAATAAGTACAAAGTCTAGAAAACATGAGGACCAATTTCGCTCAACAAAACTTAGGGTTTATTATAAGAATCCTGAAATTTGAGAACAAGTTTATCCTGGGTAGTGCATAATCTTTTAGAAGGCAAAGAGACAAGAGCGGACCAAAGGTCGTGTCTATGATCTGTAGTCAGTTGACTTTTCTATCCAACGTATCTTCTTCATTATTTTGCATTCCCAGATCCTTCCTAACAGGTTGTAAAGACTGTACAAATAAATATTTTAAGAATGAAAGTCAACATACCGGACGTGGTTACTGAAGTATTAGGTAAGGTGTTTTACGAAAGACTTGGATAGAAACTCATTACCTTTGGGATTACGCGTAATGTATAATCGTGGAATTAAGAATATCTTACCCAAACAACCAATAAAGGGGAAATAAAGGCGAACAAAGGGGAAATAAAGGGGAAATGTGTTAGAAAATAAAGGGGGAAAGTGCCGAAATGTCTACTTCCTCCCCTGCCCGGGGGGAACAATGCGGACTTTCACCTTTTTGTCGCTGTCCCTCAAATGTCGCTGAATTGCCTACTTTTCGCCCAAATATACGCCAAATTATCTACTTTTGCTCCAACTTTTAAAACAACATTAGCATAACCCCTAAGGTCTCCTATGTTCACCTTTATTCCCACAACACACAACACTAAAACTACAATTCATGTGAAAAATGGTATATATTTAAAGAAATTTATTGAAAAGAAAAAGCGTATTATTATACAACATTATTAATTATAGTTAATAGAAAAAAGATTTAAAGCGAATAGTCCCGTTTACAAATTTCGATAGAGCAACGAGAAGACGGAGTTGATCTGAAAAATGTGATGTATTTACGCCATACATTTAGAAAAATCTGGTTATATATATACTTTTCAGGACATTTTATATGAAAAGGTCAATTAAACAAACGTCCAAGTAAAAAAAGTAATGAAGGAGAGAGTGAAATAGCATCATGTAGAAAGAATAGGTAATTGTCGCACTACCGTACGTTACAAAAATGACTTAAGAATTACCAGGGTAAACTCAACTTTACGACAAATTGTTTTTGTACACATAAATTCACGAATAGCCAAGGCTTCTATAAATCTGATAAATCATCCTCGGAAATTTCTATACAACCTTTTGAAGGCTGTATTGGTGTCAATTCTGTGTTTTGCTATCGATAAACATGGTTCTTACTTCCCACGTTGACCGAAACATCTGACATTAGTTGACCCGGTCGTTGCTGCTACCTTAACGTGGTTATGCTTGCCAATCGTAATGAAGCAATTGAGCTACAGTGGCTCGAACAATCGTTCCTCAAGTTCCTACCATGCCAGATAGATCAACTGAAGGACAACAAAACTAAAAGCAACAAACCAAAGGTCCGAGGGCGACGTCTTGCTAATAGCTGTAGAGAAGAGTGACAGCAGTAATGTGTTTCCTTCAAACAACCAGCATAACAGCGATGCTGCCTCCCTACAAGGAAGGATAGGGTTAGAAAAGGTCGACTCTAAAAATGCACACCTCGCCTTCTCCCACGGGTTTCCGTCTCCGGCAGTAAGGTCTCAATAAACACGCAGTTAACACAAAATGGTGTGTGACGACCCAAAGTAGTTGTCCTTGGACACTGCGGTCACGCTCTCAGGTCACTAAGACCACCTCTAACCCAACTTACTTTTCAGGTACCTCTAGAAGAACCCTTCCACGGTGTAGGCGACCGGGAAGTTGGAACTGCCCTCACACACTTGACAACATTCAAGATCACTGTATTCATAATCAATCTCCCTATTCAATTCCTATTAATCCTCCTGCCTAGACTCTCAACTCTAAACTTCCTCTTCAAATGTCACCATAACCAACGACTCTAGTGCGCAAAACACTGTCCCAGGTCTACTAAAAACTCGCCCCAAACTACACATTGGAGCCTTCAACGTACACACCCTATTTCGAATCGATCATTGGACCTCCTTGACTAAAACCCTAGAATCTTTTACCATTGATGTATGCCATGTCTCTGAAACATGCATACAGGATCCCGGTGTGCTCATTTACTTGACCTCACCTCGCCAAAACAGAGACCCGACGGAAAATCCTCGTGGACTGGCGGGTGCTGACATAGTACTAATTACGAGAGCAGAACAAGCACTTTTAGGATGGATCCTTGTTGTTCGGCTAAAGAGTTCCGTAAGAATTCGGAAGGATAGGGACACACGTCGTTACCTTCTCATCATTTCTGCCTACGCTCCCACTCACCGCAGCCCGGATGAATTGAAAGACGACTTTTAGAGAAAGCTTTCTGAACTTCTTCATAAAGCTAAACACTCAGACATAGTACTCGTAGCAGGTTACTTCAATATTTAAACCAACCAGAAAGAAATTTAGGCGGGTACTTTAGTATTCCCGCTCAGTGAACAAATAAGGGTGATCGTCTGCTGCAACTGTGCTCAGACAATCGTTTATTTCTAACAAACACTAATTCTAAGCATAAGGAGAGACATCGTCTAACACAGAGAATCCTGTATCAAATCAACGATGAACTCAAACAGACCACACTGCCATCGGTCATCGCTAGAGAGGCTCGATAGAAGACTACCGATCGTTCTGGAGTACATGTTTAAACTCTGATCATTTTCTAATACGAGCACGCATTAGCTTGCACCTCAATGGACCCAGAAAAGCCACATTAAGAAAACCCATTAGAGTTGAACTCAACGATGAGAAAGACAAAGATAAATCCCAGGAACAACTGAAGTCACACTTAGGCAATCTCGAAAACGAAGCTGACCCAGATAATTGAAAAACGTTTTGGAAACGGCAAAAATATCTACTAGTGGTTTGAATCAAAGGGTTACGAAAAACCAGTGGAGTTCCGCAACATACATTTCCCTGATAGACTCTCGTAAACATATTCCATCAGGCTTCGAACACAATCAAGAGCAAAAACAAATCAGATCTAGGTTAACCAAAAGTCTACGGAACGCTCGTAAGCAGCGGCGGGCAACGAAAGCAAAAGAGATAGAAAAGGCAGTGGCCGTAGGTAATTCAAGATAGCTTTTCAGACTAATAAAAGAGACAGGAATAAAGAAGTCAAGTGCAAGTGACACTATCTGGGAAAAAGACGACACTTATCTGCTCTCAGTCTAGACGTTTAGAACGATAGGCGGAATACTTTAGGGAGCAGTTCAGTTGGCCTTCAACTACTCTACAACTACCCACCATTCCCAAACAGCTTGAATGAAACATTGAAGTAGGCCCCCCGACTCTAAATGAAGTTCAAAAAGCTATAGCTAATCTGAAACGAGGAAGAGCAGCTAGTCCACATGGATTAACTCCAAAGGTATTTAAGTATGAGGGTCCAATTTTAGCGATTAGGTTGACTAATATTTTAGCTAAAATCTGGGAAGTGGACGTAATCCCATCCAACTGGTCGCAATCTCTGATTGTCCCAATATATATGAAACGACCGAAATCAGCCTGTGATAACCATAGAGGGATTAGTTTGACCGATATAGCATCTAAAATACTAGCCACAATAATTATCGGGTGCCTAACAAAGACTCATGAACTGAAAACTCGAGAAAATAAGGCTGGTTTCAGATCTAGTCGTGGTTGCATCGACCACATATTCACTATTCGTCAGATTTTAGAACATTGGTGTGCTTATCGGCGTCAAACAATGACAGTTTATCTTGACTTAAAAGCAGCATTTGACTCTGTAAACCGAGACGTTCTATGGAAAGTCTGTATTGAAAGGTGTACGTCAGAAATCTTGTCAGGGCTTTTTAATCGAACACTACCAGCCGAGTCAGAGCTTATGGCGAACTGTCATCTGATTATGCAACCTCAAGTGGCGTCTAATAAGACTGTTCACTATCTCCATTTTTGTCTAATTTCATCACAGACCTACTGCTGGAAATAACTTTCTCGTCGGCTGAACTTTCAGGAATTGACCAACTACCAAGAGGTCCACTTATGGACTTAGAATATGCATGTGACATAGTCCTGTTTCGTGAAGACGCCGATAAAATGCAAAGTCCTTCAGTAGCACTAATCAACAATGCCAGGGTGTTTGGTATGCGTTCTTCCTACTCTGAATGCAAGTTGTTGTTTCAGGACTGCCTGAGTCAGCACCTTAACAAAGGATCGGAAGTGAAGTAGTTGAACACATCTGATCAGCCCAAGTGGGATGTGTCTGACGAAATCTCAGCACGGATTCAGAAAGCTCATTTGGATTTCGCCAACTCACGTCACCTATGGCAAGGGTGAGATATCCATCTATCAATTGAAGGACGAGTATAGTGCGCAACAGTTCGTTCTGTTTTACTTTACAAATGCGAAATGTGATCATGAAGGGTAGAGAATACTCGCAAGTTACTAGTATTTGATCACAGATGTCTTAGAAATGTTGCTCGTATCTGCTTCGATCACCGGGTAAGTAATAATGGTTAGGCGCAGAGTATTAGCGAACGATGGCAAATCAGTTGACGAGGTTGTAAATCTTCATCGACTGCGATTGTGAACCCACGTATTACGCATGCCCAATCACTGATTACCACGACGCGCAATGCTGACTAGTGTTGGAGACGGTTGGAAGAAAGTTAGGGGTG